AGTTAGTCCATAATAAACTGTCAAATTTTCAATTATTTTATTAAGAGCATTTGATTTATATCCTTACTGTTACTGTAAAAGATCGAATGTAATAATTGTACATGTTTATTCTCTTTGCGCATGAAACAGAATATAGTTTTGAAAAGTGGGATGAAAACCAGATTAAGGCTCACAGAACTACATGCAATAAAAAAAAATATATTTTTCTCTGTCTGACAAGGCTCAAATTTTTCTTTCATTAGACCAGCCTAAACTCTGTTATTTATTATATACAAATACGATATTCCAAACTGTATAGGAATTATTAGAGCAGCCTACGGAGACGATACAACAATCCTAACAATAGATAAAAATCCTACACATGCTTTAAAGACTTTACTACATCATGAAAGAAAACTTGATGATTGGTAAAAAGTTTGGAAAATTCGGCTAAACCAAGACCAAATCCCAGCATATTGCTTTCACTCCTCGACATGAAACGTCGTCAAATTTACCTCTAACGGACAAGAGGAACTGGTATTTGACAGAAGAATGATAGTGGGCTCACATATGAACAAAGTAATATGAAAAAATAACTAAGGTGTGTGCTTTAGCCCACGCGATAGAAGTGAAAACATCCAGAGGCGAGTTTAATAATATGAAATATAAATTACAAATTATAAAGAGAACGAAATGCTCAACATTTCTCTTGCTTACTGTATGCAGGTCCAATTTTTAGTTTCTGAGATATTTTAATCGATATCTTCCATAAATCCCGTTATCATTTGGTTTTCACCACAATTTTTTTGCTTTTCGACGCTCTAACACGACATGGCGTTAAGATATAATTTTGAATAATAGCTCATTAGAGAGAGGATGAAACGCTGAACATTTTCCTCGCTCACAATATGCAGGTCCAATATTTAATTTTTGAGATATTTTAATACATTTGCAAAAACACTTCAATTAATCGACTTCAGTCGACTTTATCCGAAATCTGACAGCTCACTCTAATTCACTCTCCTCATAATAGTGAAGTTTACACTTAAAAAAAAATAAGAAAAACGTTAAACCTCAGACTAAGACAATTATACCCACTTCTACCAAGGAGTTCAAAATCAAATCTAAAACAGAAACTGAACACGTACATTTATCTACCTATGTGGATAAATGTATGCGTTCATTTATCTAGTCCCATTAGGACCTACACTTTACAGATATACGGGACAAAGAACCGGGATGAGGGATCTTCTTGGCTAAAACTCCATAATAAAATCAAGATAGGATGGGATGCCACTGGGAACTCCAATCAATGTTACTACATTTATTTTTCCTGACTCACTGCTTGTCAGTATTTTTAACAGATTTTGGTGAAGAAATAATGTTTAAAAACTTTTTAAATCAATCAAAATTCAGTTTTTGTTCATTTTTTTTTATATTACTGGCATTTTTTGTTTCCTTAAAATATCGTACAATAAAAAGGTCAGTAAATTTACTCTATCATTAAAATTACTCTATTAATTTTTTTATAAACATTAGTATTATTTTATCGATTATAAATTGTAATGTAAGTTTAGGTAAAATTTGAGCATATAAAGAAACGTTAAATCTTAGACTAGTCACCATGTCACCTAGCACTGATGAACTGATAAGTCGGCCTAAACGTACATTTTAGTAAATAGTTTACACTATCAGCTATTTTTACACTATTTACACACTATCCTTCGACGACTGGAGCAAGTGCAAGTGCAGAACAGACTTGTCGAGATACTACTCAATGGCATCACTCCCTGAATTGTTCTAATTACGAAGATCCCGAGGCCATATTTTTTCAGATGTACAGGAGGGTTATCAGGAATCGAGAAAGAAGCAAGAGTGGAAAAAAGTTTCTGAGGGACTGGATTTTATCATGAAAGGATGGACATTTGGTTCGAGCTAAATTGTTGGCGGGGTGGCCGAATGGGCTAATGCGTGTGCACAGCAACGCCGTTGCCTAGCAACCTGACATATGAATGAAAGATAAAAAAATTGTCACGAGTTCGCGTCCCGGTGCTGGGGGAGTCTTTTAAATCCCCGCCCACACTCCCACATCCCTGCCTGGCCTGGGAAAATCCCGTATAGCCTTAACGGCGAAGAAGGGAAGGACCTCAAAAAAAAAAAAAAAAAAAAAAAAAAAAAAAAAAAAAAAAAAAAAAAAAAAAAAAAAAAAAAAAAAAAAAAATAGGGTTACTTCTGACAATAATTAAAGTTATCTTTGCCCATTTAGTAACAACATAAATATGTCTCAATTGTAAAAAATACAATAAGAAACTGATTAATATGCGTTTAATAAATTTTATAATATATGGTCTTGAAAGAGGTATTTCCCTGAAATACAAATTATGGTTGGACGAGTTTAAGAAGAATTGTTTTAGAAGATGAGTTTAATAATAAAAGAATAAAACGCTGAAATTTTCAATGCCTAGAACTTTTATAACTCGATAACTTCCCATATACTCTGAATCAAAACTATAATATAATTAAATCATATTGGCTTTTTACATTTGCATCCCATTCCTATATACTGATAGATAAACCATTTTCAAATGAGCTAATTTATTTATGAAAAATATATATAAAACTTTGCAATATGATTAAAAATGAAAATGAATATACATTGTAAAACTTACATCTGTGTTAGGTTAACCAAAAATACCATTTTAAAAATAAAAACATGATTGCTAAATATCAATAGCACCCTAGCCTTCTAAATTGTATGTTAACCGGATGAATTGGGGGAAAAAAACATATTGCTAAACAGCATTAAATTCAGGGCATGCTTATAATTGCAAATTAGCAGTTTGACATTTTGTAATTTTAACTTTCTACGTTTATTTCGAAACTTAAGATGGCACATGCTTTTTTATAGCTTTTATCTTTCATATAAAAATCTGGTGTGCGCAACACACTACTTTTACTTACTGCTGAACTTTGAATGGAAATTATAATCGTGCAGCTGACAAATCATAAATACCATTAAAATAACAAAAGTCCTATTTATTGTTTCACCAGTTGATTATGGTTTGAACTATCCGTTGATTATGGATTGTACGATCCGTTGATTATGGATTGTGCGATCCGTTGCCAATCCTTTGCGATCGCAACCAAATTTTGTTGTAAACAATATTAATTGATATTTTATATTTAAATGTTACCTTTTAGAAGCGTAGATTCAATGTATTTGCTATTGTAAGTTATTGTCGATTATATATACATATACATATCTTTACAACTTTTCTTTAATCGACCTTTGAGTATTAAATTTAAACATAACCATTTAATTGGGAATAAGGTCACTTATTAATTATTTAATAAACTACTGAATGTTCATTTCCTCTATGTTTATTGCCGTTTCGATCCCGGTATTTTTTCTTTTTATAAGTTAACGAAATGTAGCTACACTACATATTAGAGTAGCTTAATATATGTGCTAGTGGACGGTGCTGAGGCTGTCGGTGTGTCCCTGGCCTGATCGAAGCTCTATTTTTAAATCTTTGAAGAAGATCCCATCGTTAACTTCTAAAAAGAAAAATACCGGGATCGAAACGTCAATAAACATAGAGGAAATGAACATTCAGTACTTTATTAAATAATTAATAAGTGACCTTATTACTAATTAAATGGTTATGTTTAAATATACATATACATATATAAACTTAAGATATTTAACAAATTATGAATTTACTACCCCAACCAAGAATAATTTTTTGAAGAATTGAAATTTAGATATCTAAAAGCTCTCAGAAGTAAACATATTTCTAATTTCATGCCAAAAATTACCACAGAAATATGAAATATAAAGAAAGTGTCAATTTCAGTTTTCAGACACTATAACTTGAAACACTAACAGCCTAAGCGCAAACTACTATAAATGGCGAAGAAAACTCGTATAAACAATGGGGAAGACGCAAAGATATGAAGGGAAAAAGATAGACTTTATGAGCAACAAAAATGTACATTTGTAATGGTCCGACTCAAAACCGATAACCAGGAAATTCATGTTTTGTGTTAATTATTAGTAAGTCACGGTTATTAGGAACCGATAACTAATAGGCTGTTTTATTAGGCAATTACACATTAAAGCTTCATAAATCAGAAAGTATATTTCTTTCAAAATCATTTCAAGGAGATTGTTTAAGTGGCTGAACTACACTATGTTCTGTTATTATTTTTTTTAAATAAAACAAATAATTACTTACTAAGCATTTTAGAATTATATAAATGTAATTGATTAAAGTTATAGTATAAAGATAAAGTGCCCAGAACCAGATAAATTCCGTTAATGTTTGAATGATATTAATATTTTTGAACTAGTATGGTCATAGATTAGAATAAATGTTGCGACATTTGAACTATACAAACTTCAGGAAATATAATCAAGACAGATTAATTAATTATTTACTTAAGGTAAAACATAATTCAAAAAGTTTGTTTACTATTTTAAAATGGAATCGTTAAATTTATAACTAATCACATCTTTGCTACTTACTCATTGTTTATACTTCAACTTGTCATTTTAGTTTTTCAAATCTTAATGTTAAAAAAATATTATTAGATATTAAAATTATGGTGGATGGTTCCAAAAGATAATATATTCAAAATATTATTTTGACGAAATCGTGCTTCTGATATTAATATATTACTTTTTTTAAAGTAAAAAATAGTTTACTATAGATATTTTGTAGTTTGTTTTTCTTTTTTCCTGATAAAATTTTTTTTCCTTTCTTTTCAAAAATAACAAATTAGTTTCATGTTTAAGCTAAAAACACACGAAATCGAATCTAAAATAAAATGCTCATTAGTCCATTCTTTATAGTTTAAACGTGAGCGAATTCCTGCTCATAGGTGTATGTATATTTATCAATTAAGAATTATTTGTTTCCTACTTCTTTTTTTCATATCAATTGTTATTTAAAGGAACTATAAATTATAAAAATATAAAATTTTAATTTACATGCCTCATCATCATGAATCCTACTTACGTATTTTGGCATATGCTCCATGGTGCACAGCTACCAAGAGTACAAACCAGCTCAGGCTCACAAACATTACTAACCCTTTACAGATATCCTGCGTGAGAGTATGAAGTCATAATTAATCGGGTAGGTATTGCACAAGCCCTTCCTAAGGCTGACCAATCGGAAAACAGGTCAAAGGCGATCTTGCGCGCAAGTGCTACCTCTGCATTCTGTGGAGCCCTGCGGAGGACTGTGGGCTTACACAAGTTGCGAACATACTTCGAACCCGGGACGACCCAGTTGGATAGTGAAAGTGGTCGGGGGGAATAGCCTGTAGGTCGCTAGGTTATGACAGCGCCGGTTACTGCAGGTGCTTGACCAAACACGTCGGGCCTTAAAGAGTACTTGATGTTGCATCGCGTCTCACAAAGGACCCAACAGTACTTGACTCTTCAAGGACAAAGTACTTAGTGTCTACTTAAACGTTTGACCCAAATTAACAACGTATTCCATTGAGATCTCTATTGCGAAGTAAGAATGAGTTGGCTTACTGATGGTCGTATTATTTAAAACTTACACGCAGTATGATTATATATCTTACATTTCATCACTGCTCAATACTCTATTGACCTCAAAAATTGAGGCTTATGAATGAAATAAAATTTATAAAATATCACATGTTATATTTCTTGCCATATTTTACGAGCAGCTTCAAATCATTTTATTATTTCTACCAATCAAAAGTTAGAATTCCATTGGGTAGTAAGTAGACATGGATGATCAATCAAACAGTGAGGTGTAGGAAAAAAAATCTTCTGAACTAAGTTATTCTAACATCAAGTACTCTTAACAATTACCTTTACCCTTCGTCGTAAACCAACGACTTCCTGTCCTACAGTTTCCTTTAACAATACTCCACTTATCCCTGTTGAGAAAATCCGATACCTAGGACTCCACCTGGACAAACGACTAACTTGGAATCCTCATACTAGACTGAAACGACAAGAAACTGCTCGACGTTTCCGATTACTTCAGCACTTACTAGACAAACGCTCTAAACTTCCCATTAATTACAAAAGACTCATATACTTGACTATAATAAGACCTATTTGGACTTACGGAGTTGAGCTATGGGGCTCCACTAAACCATCGAATTCCTCTCGATCCAATCCTTACAATCCAAAATCCTTCGTAAAATCCTCAATGCTCCTTACTTTGTCACTAATAAAATTATCCATAAAGATCTTAATGTTCCTTATGTTTCAGATCTGGCCCAATTCAGATACCTATCCTTCCATAATAAACTTCAGAATCATACCAACCCTCTCGTTTCTAACCCTGCTTCCTCTTCAATTCCTGATAACCCTCCGAGGCGTCTGAAAAGAAGATGGCCCCTTGATCTCCTAATGTAGTCATATCATTAAAGTGCTACCATTGGGTAGTTACTCAGCAAGTGTATTCATGTCATTATATCAATTATGTCCAAATTTACTTGATGTATTTATGTAATACAGTTGTAAATGTCATAAAGAAATAAAAAAAAAAAGTACTCTTAATTACTAACTGTGGGTTGATGGAGGACTGTATTGAATAATTAAATAGAATGATGATTGGAGTGATCAGTCAAAATAAAAACAGTAAAAATAAATAATTATATTTATTTTCACATTCGTCGAACTTTAGGCCCGAAGTTCAGACCTTCATCAGGGCTGTTCAATCAGACAAGCGTTGACTGACGGACATTGCGGTCTGTCCACGCTTGTCTGATTGAACAGCCCTGATGAAGGCCTGAAATTCGGGCCAAAACTTCCTTGAATGTGAAAATAAATATGATTATTTATTTTTAATATTTTTATTTTGACTGATCACCCCAACCATCCTTCTCTTCCATTATTCTTAATTACAACCGTATAAATAGAAACGTCCATTAAACAAACAACATAATATAATGAGTTGAAAACACGCTCCATAATCGGGTGAATGGTCTGATACTCCAAAGAGTGAGAGGGTCAATTTAATTCATCATCTATAATTTTTTTTCTTGGTTTATTTCCTTATTTTTCTTTAAGCTAATTATATTACTACCTATTAACTTCTCGACAAACATAAATCAATAATTATATAAGTGATATTAATTAATTACAAAATACAGTTGAGATCTTGAAGATTAAGAACTCCGTTTCGTTAACTATAAGGTCATGTATCTCCGGACTCACCGCTAAATGTTTCTGTCTTTCTTGCTCTCTCAAAAATAATAATTTCAACAGTCGAAATCATCAGAACGAAATTAATCATAAAACTCACGAGAGAATAAATAAATTACGAAACAAAGATCGTTTGTTTAATACCACGATTATTAAGTTTATTCACCAACCGACAATAAAGATGAAGCAAAAGATAATTTTAACCATTAGTTGGAAAATGTTATGGACTAAGCTCATAAAATTTCTCATAAGTGGATACAATCCCTATGTAGGACATGGACCCCCATTCCCCCTCCTCCCCCCATAATTGGAGGTCAAATAAAGCCTTCACAAAATGAGTAATAGCAATAAAGTGAGATATGGGCCTTTCAGTTGACAGAATGACTAACTCCAATTTCAAGATGTTTTATTCTTATTTTGGTGATATTTTTAGTGGAAAAATATATACCTTTATTCACAGTTCTATATTTCAACACTGCAATCACCTTCTCTGGAATTAACTTACTCACTGTCTGTACAGATATTATAAATTTTTCAACTAGAAACATCATTATAATGACTTTACTCAGATCCACAAAACGGAGGATCGACTCGAAAAAGAACAAGGTACAAAGTCCGAAATTTGAAAAATCCTGAAGTAAAAAACGAATTTTAACCTGAACTGATAAATAAAAAAATTAAATAGGTATTCAACATAGGCGCAGACTTCGTAGGGGGCAGTCGCTCCTCCTCCCAATTAAAATTTTGAAGGGGTGGAAATATCGTTTTGCCCTCCCCTCTCTCAATAATTTGAAATAAATAAAATTAAAGTCAATAATAAATAAATCCACAGTTGGATGGACAAGTCTGGCTCGGAGTTCTCTCGCCTGATTGTATATAGTGTATATAGGTATGTATGTGTTCTTTTTATTTATTTATTTTTAGGTTGTTTTATTCATATTTATTGTATATATATTATTTTTCTGTATAATTTATTTTATTTATTGTACATAGAGTGTGAATGTACTTAACACTATTATAAATGTCCTTTGAGCCAGATTGTAATATTTTTCAATAAAATAAGTTTTAAAAAAAATAAATAAATATGCTACAGGAATTATTAAAATGTGTAAACTAAAATAGACTAAGAAAAGTCTACTAGCTGGCCAGAGCCTAGTAGAAGTTATATAACTATTTTATTAATCTCTAAATGTTACCTTTATTTAAATTCAAAAATAATAATACATATCTAAATACTCTAGGATTTTATTATTCAATAATCCCTCAAGTTTCGCGTGATATTCTTATAATATTTTTCCTCTACAAACTAGTCGGACTGTGAAAAACGTATTTTTATTTGAGGTTGTACACAGTAAGAAATCAAAGATATTTTTATATTATTCAATTTTATTGAAAAAGTTTTAGAAATGTACCAATGTTATGAAGGCTGTCTCTCTTCTCTCCTGCATTTCATCTAAATATGTCATATATTCAGTTTTATTTTTTTTTACTTTCACTTACCTATATATGTAATATATAATAAGGGTAAGTAGTGCGATCGTGAAAATTTTCATGTCTGAGTTTTCAATCGAAATACAAGTTTTGGTGTACCCTGAATCGAAATAACCAAGTCCCGAAAAATGGTCTGTGTTTATGTGAGAACTCGAAAAGTCGTGAGAAACTGATATTACGTATTTAAGATAGGTATATACCTTAGATGTCACAGCAACTTTTTCCTTAAAATCAGCTAACCGGAAGTGCCACTTTATATCAACGGGGAAAAACATTTTTACAATTTTCACAAAAACGGCCATAACGATTTTGATCAAACTCAGTGTATCATAGTATAATTCAGTAGTCCTTAGTATCATTTAGGTCGTATCCCCGTTAATGTCACATTACAGAGCTTAAATGGCCAATGTTCATATAAATCTTCCTCTAATGTACCTTTAATATGGTTCATTTCAAATAATTAACCATCACCCATTATCAAAAGTTACGAAAAAAATGATTGATATAACTTTTGAAAGAATTTGATGATTGAATAAAGGAGAAAAATATAAAAATGCTTATCCAAGTCGAAAATGAATCTCAGGAAATAACAGTTAGAAGGTATACGTATAATATATTGTTGGAAAGGGGCAGTGTATATCAGCACTGGAGTGTGTAAATATAGAACAAATTTCGACGGTGAAATAGCAGCGATCCTCATAGCCTTAAGAACATTGTCTAAAAGGCGGGACCAGAGCGCTGTTCTCTTCATAGATCCTCAAACAGCCATCCTCGCTGTTACAAATACGAATGAATGCCTATCGAGTGCTGAATTGGAGTACAAATCCCTCCTCTGTAACCTGACACTCCCATGCACCAGTGTGGTCCTACATTGGATTCCCAGCAATTGTGGAATTCCGGGCAATGTTGAGGCTGATAGTCTTGCCAAGCAAGGAACAGATTTGCCTCAGCCGATATATCCAAAACCTTACGAATCAATTCGGCGAATGGTCAGGATGGTATTGAAGAAAGAAATAAGAAAAGCACACTTGGAAAAGGTGGAAGAGAAACACTATGAGTTTTTGATAGATAATGCGATCCCAACTGAACTATCGAGAAGAGATGCAGTAGCCTGCTTCCGCCAGGCCACTGGTCACGACTATCTGCAGTCATCTTCACAAGATAGGCGTGGCTGAGCTGAGGGTCCTAGTTGTAAATTGTGTCATCAAGGAAGAATGGATGCCGACCATCTAGACACATGTCCTGCCTTGACGGACATAAGAGAAAAGACATTTTTAATATGTATATTAAAAAATCCGGCGATCATATAGGATTGAGAAAAGCCATCCTAAGTATATATGAAACACAGAGAAATGTAGTAAGGATGTGCAACCACACATCAAAAGAATTCACAACATATCAAGGAATCAAACAGGGATGCAGCCTTAGCCCCCTCTTGTTTATACTAGTGCTGGACTCTGCCCTAAAACAAGCAAAACAGAAAATGAAGCCATACAACCTCGGATATAGGAACCTACAGCGCGTCCAGTATACAGTGATTGCTTTTGATGACGATATGGTGGTGTTCGGAAATGACTACCGTAATCTGCAGTTTAACCTCAAGATCCTTCAAGCTGAGATGAGAAATATAAACATGGAAATGAACATCTCGAAAACAAAATTCATGGGGATCGGGAGAAGAAGGGACCGAGGAGACCGGATCGTTCGGCTGAGAGGAATCCGCCTGGAAGAAGTTAAGGATTTTAAATACCTGGGCGCTCACCTTAACGAGTTCGGATGGGTGGATGGAGAAATTAAAGAGAGAATTAAGACGGCAGGAAGATGCTTTTACTCCCTCAAGTCAGGCTTCTTGGACAAAAAGGAAGTCTCAAAGACAACTAAGAAAATTGTCTTTAAGAATACTTTCCTCCCTATATTGACGTATGCAAGCGAGTCTTGGACCCTCACTGCCAAGCACAAAAGCCAAATCCAAGCTATGGAAATGCGCTATCTAAGGAAAATAGAGGGGAAAACAAGAAGAGATCGCGTTAGGAATGTGACCATACGAGGTAATCTGGACCTGAGGCCTGCAGAGGAGATAATCCAAGAAAACCAACTTAGGTGGTTTGGACATATCTCGCGAATGGCTGAAAACAGAATTGCCAGAGCTACCTACGAGGTCAAAGTGGAGGGAAGGAAGCCACAGGGAAGACCAAGAAAAAGATGGGAAGAAGGAGTTGAAGAAGCCTTTGACAGGAGAGGAATGGACTGGAGTAAGAGAAGACAGCTGGCACAGGATAGATATTCGTGGATCAGGAGAGAGAGATTCCTCTATAAGAGGGAACCTCACATTGCTCAGCGGTAACAGAGGACTGGATTAAGTAAGTAAGTATTAAAAAACTAAATTATACTGGGCAGCAAGATGTCGGATGGCCGAATGACCAACGGCTTTTGCATAAGAAAAAAAAAAGTTTTCCACAATTTGACAACATTGTGACATTACATAGATGAACAAAAGATATTTTGGCTATCTAAGTAAATATAAGTTGTCGCAAAAGTGCATTATGTAAACATATTTATCAGTTAAATGACATAAAGTTATTTACCAAATTTAAAATTACAGTATTCCTTGATTAATTTAATATCAAATCACTTTTGGGTCATGAAAAATTTTCAAAATATTTTATTGTTACGTTATTCTATTCATAAATCTTAAATAAAAATCTAAACTTTATGGGTATGGAATATTTATAGCATTAATGTTATTGAGAAATATAATAAATATGGATTTCTTGTCAGTAATCATCTAAAATGAAAGGATATATTAGCAGTTCAGAGATTTATAACTAATGTAATACGCTACAGATTTTGTTATGACAGCACCCTAGAGAAGTGCCTGTTTCAACCTACCTTCAATTTCTTTATGTTCATATGCAATAAATTTTGACCTTGAATTATCACTACCATAATAAGACTATAGTACTTACAATCTAAATAATCACCTTTTCGTACTTTATATAGTGGAAGTACTGTCATAAGCTCAATAGATATAAACCTAATAATTTATTCTGGCTTACATTAAAGAATAAATTATGAATTGTAGGTAATAATAGAGAGACAAATGATTTCCAAAGAAATAAAAACTATGAAAAAATGAAAAAGGACTAGATTCGATAACAGGTGATAAGGAGTTTGCTATTTATACTATCTCAATAAATAAATAACACAGTGCTTGTTAGGAAAATATTTATTTGACACTATTTTGATTAAAGAGAGATTTTTTTTTTCTTTTTAACTGAAAAATAATTCTTTGAAACAGTTTCTGGCATCCAGTCTATCATTTTTAAACCAATGCTAAACTAAAATAATGTACAATTTACAAGTGTGTAGTGTATCGCTATCAATTTCACTCAAATTTTTAACTCCATTATTCAGGAAATATCTCACTTAATGGAACATCTCTTACAATGTTATTAGCAGATTTAACAGCAAACTGAGTTAAGGTTGACACAATGGTTGGCTTAAGCTCTTGTACAAAGTAATTAAAATTCAGATTAATAGCTGAACTTATTACATCACCTGTAATACAAAGAATAAAAGTAGAGCAGATTCTTATTAATGTTTTATATAGGTGTTTAAAAAAACAGTAATAATACAATATATTGTAACATCCCTCTTATATTTTACTAATAATATATCGGAAGAACACTTTAATATTATTAGGATACTTCCTAAATAAATAAGAGGTTGTGTAATAATAAACAAAATTATAAGAGAATTAATATATTTATTTATCTCAGGTGTGAGTTACTGAAGATCAACTCAGACTAACTATTATTATTTACACTATTTATAGTAAAATTAAACATTGATTTTAAAATAAAGTCAAGTATGAATTGGTAAGCTAACCTTTTTTCTATATACACTGTTTCTTCCTTTGTGGTACTGAATTTATTTGTTTTCAAAAACTTTCTAAAGTTCTGCCTAACACAACTTCCTAATTGTTGATTACTTTCTTCTACTCGACTCAAGCTCTCTGGAATATCCTCTTTCTTGTGATTCCAAACAACTAGTCTCTCTACCAAACAACTTCCAAGACTGTAATACTATTACTGGGTTTTACCCACTGGAGCCAGGATCACTTCTCCTATCCTCTCATCACTCCAGCGAAACATCAACTCGTCTAAACAAAAACCTTTGTCCCTCTTCTCTTTGGGATTTTCTTTTTTGGGAAACTACAGAGCAGCCATTTTATTTTCTCTGAACTAGTAGAACTAGATTAGCTTGCCTTTGAATTGTTAAACATTAATTTATTAAACCATTTTTACTCACTTCCAATGAAATTACAATATATTACAATAACTTACAAATACATTACAATATATATATATACACACATAGATATATTTCTTTTTTCAGTTGGCTCTACAGTCTTGTAGACCTTTGACCACCTGATCCAGCCTTTTCCAACTCTACCTATCTTGGGTTACTGCTTTCTGATTTGTGCCATGAAGGTTTGCAGCATCTTTGTTGATTTGACCTACTGGTACTGGTGGGGAGAACTAGTCGGGTAAGTGTGCCTATCGTCATTCTTTTTGCCAATCCATGACGGCTACCTTGAGGTTACCGAGTACTTGCCAGAGTTGGAATGTCATGATACATTTCCCGAGGCCACCGAGAAATGAATAGTAACCAGCCCACTAGGAGGGAATCAAACCCACAACGTTCAGAACCGGGGGCAGTAGCACTCTGGGACTCATGCCCCAATGTGCTCGGCCGTGCAGTTATCTTTGATTCTATCTATCTAACCATCTGGCTTTTGGCCTCCCACGTGGTCTCTTGTCTACTATTGTGGCATTCGTTGTTGTATATTCATTTGAGCCTTCATATCATGAGACAGTGATTGACCAGTTTCTTTTATCAGTTCTGTATTGTTTATTATTCTCCATTCATTAAGGTTCGAATCAGACAACTATGGACATTTGTTTTGAATCTCCCAATTCTGCTTTCTAATTTTTTGCTTACAATCCAGGTTTTGTACTCTTAATTTGTTGTATACCATAGTAAATATACGAGAGTATATACATTATATATATATATATATATATATATATATATATATATATATATATGTGTGTGTATATATATTTAAAAAAATCACTATATTTTTTCCTAAATCAAATCAACTTCATATTCATTATAGGATTGTAGAATTGTAGGATTTAATGGTGGAAATTTAGTATTTTGAATTATCTTTTCCCTTATTATACTTCAGTTTAAGTTGGGCATTTGCAAATCAACCAGTTCTAATAAACTGCACTACGTATTTGTACGTCGTTCTTCTTCTCTCAAAACAAATAAACATTAGATATTAAACTGCACTTCTCTGAAATTTCCATCTACTACATGTTTAACAGACAAAATTATGGGTTCTTAGTAGTATAAGGAAACGTAACAGTTGACGTATATATATATGGGGAAAGAGAGAGGTATGATTATAATAATAAGATTTAATTTTACCAGCTTTCTGACAGGACAGATTTTCATTCTTACCTGAGTTAGAGAAAAGTTTTATTGAGTCATCAACAGAAGTAATTATTTCATAGGGAGACTACTGCTTCAGAAATATTCTGTTATTAAATTACAAGTTATAAGAACAAGAATATTAATTTATTTAAAGTAATACAAACCAATGAGTTTATCTTCTCGTCCGAACATACTGCCAATGTGTATCTTCCCTTTTCCAATTTTCAAGTGATGCAGGTCAAGGCCAAAAAAGCTGAGAAACTGATCACCATCCTTGTTAACTAGCTCACTTTTCATAGATACTTCAGAATCTACGTCATCTGAAAAGTTATCACCAAAGATCATTTTAATAATTGTGTTTAAAAATTGAGTACTTGATAAACACAACTTAATGCACTTGAACTATTAATCTAATTTTCTCTGTCACTTGTAAAATTACTAAAAGAAGGTTGATTATATTTTTATTTTATTTAACATGCATTAAAAATAAATAAAACTTATAGCAGGTGCTTTTCATACAACAATAAATCTGTAATAGTCAAACTGTAACAATAATATATTATAGAATAAATATTGTGTAAACATTTAATTTTAATCAGTATTCATAAGTATATATTATTTGGATGGAAAATCTTACAAACATCAGCAGTGATTTCTCCATTGCCTTTTACAGGTATCATTATAACTTTCCCATCAACTTCAAACATTCCTTCTATTTTTAAGTGCGGAATATTTAAATGAAAATTAAACTTTGGGGCAAGTGGATCAACACTAGAATGAAAATTATAAAAATATATAAGTGTAATAAATAAATCTAAAATAAATGCATTATAAAAATCCCTTAAAGCAAACATGAAGAACATTTTAGGAGTTTTACTTGAAGCTAATATATTGAATAATTATTGGATAACTATCATTTACATTTGTAATACAGCTAGGAGAGATAAGTCATCTTTCAATTGTACAAGAAAAACAGAAAATCTTGGTGAAAAATGACACAATAACACTTCACAATAAACAATACAAATAACAATAATCTCTATAATTATATTATTATTATTTTTTTTAAATTGAATTTAGAGCACATGATATTACAAACAACTAATCTGATTAATTTTTCATAATTCTAATTCCTTTTTAATTATACTTTTGTGACTAGAACAATTACAAAATGTTTTTGGCAAATCTAATGTTAATAACAGTTATCTAAAAGTTTGTTATTTGCACTGTAAGAATAAACTAAAATTTCAAAATGATAATAAAAATGATTATGGAAACAAAATAAAGATGTTTTCCCTTTGTTTATACTATTTAATAATTCCCTTTTAGTTACTTATTATTTGTTACATTTAAATGTTATGAAGTAATTTACTCTAAATTTTTGAGAGTGTAATTACTTCCTCCCCAAGCTTTAAGATTTTTTGTCACTACATTCAAACCAGTTCCTTCGGTGGAAATAGGTTCATCGATGATCAGTGGTTCAATAGGAGGCACTTTCATTTCTGGCATACCTGGAATTCCAATTTACTAATATTACAAATATAAATTAAAGTTGAAATCTGAAAATTATAAGATCTTTAAATAAAAATACCTTCAATTAACTTCGGACGCAAATCTTCTATTGACTTTTTGATACATGCTTGAAGGTCTGGATCTGATCGTTTACATACTTCGATGTAATCAGCTGCAATCATAGGCAATTCATTTATTTTTTAAACATTGAAATAATGGAGATGCATAATCAACAATTTTAAATATAAAATTATTTTTTTTACTGGTTTAAAATAAATTAAAAGTAATAAATCAATTTGAAAATAGAACACTTTAAATATCAACAATAGTTCTACTTGGCCTTTAATTTACATATTTTCATACTATCATATCATTTGATTTGCTATTTGGATTACAAAAAAAAAAATGATTAATATCATAAGTTAATTATAATTACAAAAATTATTTAAAGACAAAAACGATTTAAACAAAAATAAGTCTTTTTAATTATTGAATAACTACCTCAAGAAATGTAATCTCTAATTTGAGTAAATAGAGTAGATGATATTGGCTTAGTTAAGAATTCTACTTTAGTTAAAGTGCAATGTAAGAAGATGTCAGTTCTATTCATGGAGTTGACAAATCTTAATAATCAATCTTCAATACTTTTCCTTACAAAAATGATACCAAGCTTGTCAGGGACTATCATTGTTGTACACTGTAGTGATATACAACACTATAGAATGACAATAACCACCGAAGAAGTCAAGTTAGCAAAAAAATTATAGAAATGGGATTTTATTTAAGCTGTTTGGTGATAATTAAATCCACCAACAAATAAGAGGAATAAATAAAGTTATAGATGTGATCTTACTGCTTATTAATGTACACTGTTTTGAATAAGATAACTCATGTATAAATGATATGTGTTTAATATATTAAACACAATTTAAAGTAACTCATATCACTACTGCAACATTGTACAGTTCTAGAAGATATGAATTTATCACACCTTGACAAATGTTGTGATCTTGGCAATATAATGAATGCATTTATTGATTTTGATAATGTTTATTTTAAAAGTGGCATTGACAGCATTGCCAAAATTATATGATTCTGGAGTACGTATTGAAAAATAAAACGATTATTATTATTATGTAAGAATTTCAAATCTGAACAGGAGAATGAAGAGGCGATTAAAAAGGAATCCAAACTCCACTATAGTCTTTATTTCAGATAACATTGGTATCTTTACTGCAGTCCCAAATGGAAATATGAACTCTACAATCTTGTGGAAAAAGTTGAAAACTCCAACTCCAGTAGGAAAGAGTAATACTCCAATGGATACATAAGCACTGCTAGGGATAAGAATAGCTAACTATATTGCAATTGAAAGGGTTGGATTCTAAACTCTCTATGAGTCAATCGTTATAAATGAAACAGCTTTTCACTGAAAATGGAATAATGCTCATCATGAATTAGATAACTATAAAATGAACAAGAAAGAGCAAATTGTTAGCAATATTATTATGACAGGATAAGAGCTTGTCTATAATAAATTTAACTTCGGAGAAACATCTCTTTGTAGATGCAGAACTGGTGAATAAAATGCAAAGTACATCTTTCAGACATTTTCTAATCTGGATAACATTATAGAGTAGATAATTAGCTTGCTGGACTAATTATGATATTATTTAACTTTTTTTAACACAAATGTCAAATAAAATGATCTGTTAGAATAAAGATCAGTAAATTAAAGCTGGATTAGAAATATTGATGAATTGACTGGCTAAGCTCTGTGATGGTCTTGGTGATCCAAGAAGACCTTTGAGGTCACATTTTTAATCATGGGCCTAAACATTTGGGTGAGATCAAAGCATAAGAAGTAATTATTTAGCGCACTAAAAATACTTTATGTAGACATTAAAAAATGTGGTAAGAACGTATATGAAGGAAAATAGATATTTAATATAGTAGTTTTGATAAGTGTTTCAGGAATTTTTATTCAACAAATGTACTTGAGCACTCACGCAGTTTAGATGAATGAACAAGAACTAAACTGGAAATGATCAATGCCCAAATGAGCTCCATATTCTGATCCTGTAAAACAAATAACTGTCATTAACTCAGTTTTTATTTCTCTTATATTAATGTATTCTAAAATTATTACGTATTTTTAACTTTATATTTAATTAAGCTGATCTATGCTTTACATGATATTATTTTTATCATTTTGTTTCAATATGATTTTGGCAAGACTTAAGAAGTTCTTCAAAGGAAAGGAAAGGATCAGCACGAAAGTACCCCCCCTCCCCTCTCCCATTGATCCGCCTGTGTCTGATACAGCCATTAATAGATTTGCGTACTTCAATTTGAGGGTAAGGAATTGACAAGCGGGTGGCCAAAAGTTTTTAAATTTTCGACTGTTATTGGTTTTAAAAACGTGATGAAATTCCCCTATCCCCCCAGTTCATACATTTTACTATGCAAACAATAATCATTAATTGTTTTCATTATGTATTTATATTCTCGTTTTTTACAAATGAGAAAAATGTTTTTTTTTAAATGACTGCTTTTACTAAATAGAAAAATAATTATTGTGAAAAGTATTAAGTAGCACTAGCGGATCCAGGATTTAATTTTTTTGGGGGGGAGAGGGTGGAGTTCTTCAGCCCGAAAGCTTTTTTTTCATAAAAATTACTATAATTACTTCGGAAAAAAAGAAAGAAACTAACTATCTATATGAAATGGTGTTTAAGTGATTCCTTAAGTCCCTTTAAATGTAATTACATAAACAATAATACTTTAAGAGATAATTTTTTAATATATTTTTTCCATAAAACATGGTTATATTTTACCATTTTTGGAGGGGAGGGGCTTCAGCCCGAAAGCCCCCCTCCCCGTAGATCCACGCGTGTTAAGTAGGAAAGAGGGGATAATTGTGGCAATATGTAGAACCCTTGGTTGCTGAACGCGTTTTAAAAACGTTGAGCACGCTAACTTCCACTGATGTGACGATTTGGTTTTAGCTGAAGTTAGTGTTGCCCAAAATCGGTCTTGGTCTTGAACTTTGCAAGACCAAGACCAACCCCGCCTAACTGTAGCAAGACCAAGACCAGGACTGGTAAAAAAAAAATGATTTTTTAAAATAAAAATTAAGGCAAAATAGTTACTAATACTCGACAATCTTAGTTACTATATGTTAATAATTGGTATAACCAATATACTTTTGCATTAAGCTCCTCTAATTTTTCATTCGGGCTTAGTTAGGTTTCTCCTATCTAAAAAATTACAGAAATATCTCTATAGTAATAAGGTAATAATTATCTGCAAGACTGTTACGAGACTCTTGCGCAAGACCGAGACCACGGCCAAGACTGAGTTTCCAAGACCAAGACTCGTCTCGATCTCGCATTTGGGCAACACTAGCTGAAGTGAATCATTCTTGATAGAATACAGTATTCTATAGATTTTATTTGCTTGGAAATGAATAACTTACTTATCTAGCCAATTGTAAGTTTAAATATTGAATTTATTCAAGGTATTATTATTAAATTGGCATTACAACAACTTCCTTAAAATGATTAGGTCATGAATAACCGCAACCCGATTCCGGAGACCTAATCAGTTTAAATCATCGTTTCCACTTTTCTAGTTTGTCACACACTTTCTTTGAGACCGTGAGAATGCTAGGCTTAAAAAAAGCCTTTTACCTTCTATTAACTCTTTGAAGAAGTCTCTTCACTGTTTATCCTGAGGACCTTGGACCATGGGCCCAAAGTGTCCGGTTCTGTGAACTTATGGTCTCGATTCCCATCTGGGTCGGTTAATTTTTATTTCTCGACGGCTCCAAGAAATGAATCTTGGTATTCCCAGTCTAGTAAGCGTGGCGGCAACCTCAAAGTAACCAAAAGGACAATGTGGCCCACTTGCCGGATCAGTTCCCACCACCAGTACCAGAACACTGTTTATCCATATTGGGGAAGTCAGCCTTTCCTTGTTCCTTTATTTTCCAAGACTGGTTTTTGGTCTAGTGAAGACGCTCTCCTGATCATTTTTGAAATAGCCTGTTTTTTATTTTGTAATCCATGAAATCAACACCATAATGATTCTTGGTAATTGTTCTTGGAAGCTCTTCTGATTCGATGGACAAAAAGTAACCCGTACCGACTTTCCCTTCACTCTCGGTAGTCCTACAATTATTGTTGATTTTTGCATATAGTATATTCATAGACTTTATAGATTAATTATTTATTACGTCTTAAAAAAAATTATCATTTGTTCTATGTCGTTTCTGACCAAACTGTCTTATAAAGTTTTCTAATCTAAATAAAAATTTACTATCCGTCAATCAGCAGGTTATCTTATTTATAATTTATTTTATTTTTTAGCTAGGAACAATTTATTTCGAATTATTTTTATATCAACGAATATCTAATGTAAGTTTGAATGTTTCGATTAAGATTATTTAAAAAATATTGAATTATTTAAATTCTACGAAAAAATTACATACCTCTAAATATTCTTAAGTTTAATAAGTTTAGATGAGCCACATTTCCATATAACTAAGCGCACTAAGTCCAACTCCTTTCACTATTCAACCTGTTGACGTAAGGCGAATCCTGCAATCGAACCAGAGGAAAAGCAAATGAGAATGAAGATGTATAGTTTGACGTTTTTATAAAAAAATGAGAAAAAAAAGATTGACTGACACAAGGACAATTTTAAACACTGTCATTGTTGAGCCAGAGTGGTTTCATTGGACGTTTACGCGGCTATACACAGGAATTCCTGATGTAACTATATGGAATCGAAATAATGATATGCCATTTATGATAAAATCAGCGTATCCAAGTGTCCACAGTAAGATATTTCTATTTCTTCTAATTCCTATTTTCTTTATGGATAGCGTGTACAGCACCTTTTAATTGGCGGTCTCTGGGCTCATCAACTTAACACCTATGTACCCACATACATTATGGAAGGATAATGAAAAAGGAAGAACCTTGGTAGGAAATAATTATCGTTCTATTAATGCCATTGGAGGAAACATTTATGTACATATGTGTCATTTTACGAAGTTGCCAGAAAAAAAAAAACACCACCAGATTACTAGCTGACGGAGCCGCTTAGAATCCGGCAGTAGCAGATAATTTATTTATCTTTTATATCAGCAATGGATGGACACTTGGATCGACAGAGTACATCTAGCGGTTTAACCTGGATGCCACCCATATTAATAACTCCATGAAAACCGTAGAAATAGCTCTGGCATTAATCCCCTGATCTCACATCCTGGTCCGGGAAAACCTAGTATAACCTAAAAGGAGAGAAGAAAGAAAAAAAAATATATATATGACAAGAATGTATTTTAGATTTATGTGAAGAAACTACTTTATTTGTTGCCATAAAATGGCAATCAAAATTCCTTAACTGGATAATTGATGTATATAAACCTTATTTTTAAAAACTTTTATTATAATATTTACAACTGTATTAGTATGAATACATCAAGTAAATGTGTACAGAGGAATATTATCACATGAAACACGCTTGTTGAGAAACTACCCATTGGTAGCACTCTAATATAAACCTAAAAAACTACATTTTTGCGTGCTTATCCTTTACAAATTCAATTAAAAATAGTTTTCAAGAGATCAGAATTCACTTTTCTACTAAAATAATAATAATATAAGTGCCGATTGCTTAGTTACTTTTAAAATAAAATTTTTCTCCACCTTCCATGGGATGCGCACACCTTCCACGTCCCTCCACTGGATCCGCTATTAGTAAGATGCGTTAAGTAATATGTTGAAAATCTATCGAGTGCAACAAAAAATCCAATTGAAACACACATGATTTCTGATTTTTACGACTAATAAACATTAATATCCATATTGATGTCTGCAATTTTGGTTTCTGAATTCTGAATTATATTTAAATTTTGAGTTATTTTAGTCCAAATATCCTAAACAGTTATTTTTAACTTTTTTTTTGGCTCTTCTGTTTTTATTTGTTTCCTTTCCAACTCTTTAATTCGGCGTCACGTCAAAATTCAATTTGTATTTATAACTCATTACAAAGAGGATGAAATGCCGAAAATTTCCCTGGCTCACATTATGCATGGCCAAATTTTAGTTTTTGAGATATTTTAATCGTTTAATGTTCAGTTTTAATTTTAATGTTCAGCAAAACTCGTTATCGTTTGGTTTTCGGCATACTTTTCCCTTCTTGCCACTCTAACACCGGTTTGCATTAAGATACAATTTTGAATAATAGATCATTACAAAAAGCATGAAATGTTGAAAATTTTCCTCCCTTACAATATGCAGATCCGATTATTAGTTTCTGAGATATTTGAATCCCAATGTAAAAACGCTTCTACAAGTCGAATCGATATCAGAACATGACGGCTCAGTCTAATTCACTATCCACAAAAAAAAAAAAAAAAAATGCAAAGCGCGCCTAAAGAAGTTTTTACTTCCAAAAGACAATGGAAAAAAATAAATTAGAAAATTAGAAAACAATTCGAAATCACTGAAAAAAATAATTTTAATAAGATTCTCCAAAGTATATTTTGTTTAAAACATTTTCTTTCCAAAGACTAGAGCAGAGGCAAACCCAAGAAGAAATAAATACTTCCATCATAACTACAGTACCTTATTAGCAAAAAAAACAATCCACAGACATAATATCAGTTGTTATGATGGCAGGAACAATCGTTACTGTTACTGTTTTAAATAAAAATCTGCAAATACGTGCGACTTTGAATGACATAATATCTGATCGCTATTGTAAAGAATCAGGTCGTATAACTTGACAAATTTTGATTTTTACATAATTGTTATTATATAACATTCCTGGATTTGATTATCTTCGAAGTTCTAAAGAAGTCTTAGATGAAACAGATTACAATGTATCTCAATAAAGAATTTTCGACAGGAAAAAAAAGTATTCCACGGATTAATGAACAACGTTAATGAAATAGTTTAACTTTCTTTACATGTTATCATTGACATAAGATTTCTTCATTTTTTTTTTTAGTTCATTTTTCGATTTTTACTTAACTTGTATAACTTTTTGCCTTGTAATATTCTAAATTTAATAAATGAATGTACCGAATAAAATAATTCTAGTGGACTTAGAAACTCTTGCGTTATGATAAATTGAAACATATCTGTTCCATATGGTCGTATAATTGAGACCTTGCAAATTCAAAATGACCACTAGCTTTGTTAGCAGACTAGTTGAAGCTGGACGAATCACCGGAAACAGTTGCAATCAAATTGGATAATGGATCGAAAATAATAGTAACTTTTTTTATATAACTAGCTATACAACTATCGTTATTAAAGTCGTACTAAAATATTTCTTAACATAAAAACTTATAAGTAAACGACAAAACCAGAGATAAACTTAATATAAAATCAATAAAATACATTAAATTAAATGATTCTAGAGACAAATGTGAATTTGATATAACAATGCCATGGAAAACTAAAGCAAATGCACAACATTAAAAAATACCAGTTTGAGCATTAGAACGCGAAATATCGGTTGAATTGTCATTATTATATTCTGAGTATTTTTTTAATCTCCTAGTCCGGAAGCCCGTGACAAAAAAGGTTCATATTTTATGCTAAGGTTTGTCCTTATAAATTGATCATATCCACAGGCCTGATGAGAAAAATGTAGGTCTGCTCCGCTGGAACACAAAATGGAGTACAGATGAAGATAGAAGAAACTCTAAACGTATATATAGAGAGGGCTTATAGATATAGAAAGCTACAAACCCTTTCAATTTATAGTATTTACTGTCTTATGACATGAAATAATAGTCAGTTACCCCATGCCCATGGATTTCACGTCGAAAATTTGAATTTACAGTTAAAAAAGTTAACTTTTTTTCGGATTTCGCTTATATAGTGAAACTATACGTTCTAACTATAGTAATGTTATTAGTAAAATTAAAGCTGAACAATTTTGCAACATAAATAGTAATGTTAGCTTTTTCGCTATATTTTTTAGTTTCCGTAATATCCGTCCTCGTAATTCACTGACTTCAGAAAAAATTGTTTTTGCCTAGATTTTTTATCATTTTGTGATTCGCTAACTCTTTATCTCTTCATTTTACGAAAAAGTCATGAGGAGGAAAGTAGTTTAATATTAAATTTTCTTTGATAATATACATTACATTACTAAATTAGATCCAACCATTCAAAAGCTAAAGCAATTAATTACAACTTAATGATATAACTCCAAAACTAATCAGAAAAACTTATTTTTCGCAATTTTTGTTATTATACAGCTCTTAATCTGTACATGTCTAAGAGTCTAAGAGAACATACATGTCTAAACATTGGCTCATATAACATACACATATATACTATCTGATACATATATAAAGAGCTGTGTGATAACAAAAATTATGAAAGGTAAGTTTTTCTGTATTATTTGAAAATTTAATCATTAAGTTATGATTGCTCTAGCTTTTGAATGATTGAAGATAAGATAGTAATGTAATATATATTTATTTTTTATTTGGTCAATAAAAAAAAAATCCATTAGTGTAGTAAAATATGTTTTAGGAGAATGCTTTCGTTTTTCTTTTGGAACAAACCTTTTATAAAACTATACTCAGTTTTATTGTACTAACACAAAAAAAATAAGAGTTTTTTTAGGATATATATATATATTAATGGTTTAAGATGAATGTGGTACAAGGCACTGAAACCTCCATCTTACTTATGAAAAATAAATAAATGAAACTGTTAAAAAAAAAGGGGGGTTTTCTTCTATATTTCAATTAAATAAATCTGTATTTGAAAAATGATTTAACAAAACATATTTATGCAGTTTTGACGAAATTGTTGGTTAATTGCAAAAAAAATATAAAGTAACATTTTATAAAATATAATAACTAAATATTTTGTAGAATTTTTCTTGAATATGTATGTAAATATAATATAAATATTTTTTATATATAATAGGATTTGTATCATTTTGATGAACTTATTGCGATTTTGCATTAATAAGTAAATTCGAAAAATGTACTTAAAAGTTTGAATCAATGATCCATATTATTAGATAAGAGAAAATATAAGTCTACATAATTGTTAAGATACCTTCAGATTGTAAGTGCTCTACTTTATCACAAGTTGGCTTTTATCACCTAAAGGAGAAATGCTCATAGATTTGATCAATGGAGAGAAGGTGACCAACAAAGGAAGAAAGAAAGGAGATTTATGAAATATTTGAGAAATGAACTAAAAACATAGTATAACAAAATTCTGGATGAAGGGCCTTCATTGAAGGCAAGGTAATAAGTATAAAATAGAAATTAACTTTCAATAAGTTTTTAATTGAAGATAATAAATAATTAGATAATCACGAATTTTCAATTTTTCATTCTGTAAAAAAAAAGAAGGTATTAATGAAGTTCATAATTCTTCAAATTTGACAGTGGCATCTGATTTTGGACACAACATAAAACTGTCATAATCATGTAGAACTTTATTTTGATCATTAGTTGGTAATATTCTGTACTTCAGAAGAATAAACGCTATTGAAGTTTTCACAAATAGGTTACCATATTTCATACCTAAACAGAAAAATGAAACACTTAAATATTTTATGTCTATCTCAGGAATTATCATAAAATATTCATGAGTAAATGAATAGATGATCTATTAATTGAATTTTCAATTGTCTGGAAATAATCAAATTCCTTACCTACACAGGTCCGTGGTCCTTCACCAAAGGGTAAAAATGTATACTTTGTCATTGACTCCTTATTACTTTCTGAAAATCTTTCTGGATCAAATTTTTCCGGTTCAGGATAATATTCTGGATCATTATGAAGTGCTAAAGTGGAAATAAACACTTTAGTACCCTTCGAAATTTTCACATCTTCTATCACTGTATCCTTGGTACATAAGCGAGTCAGCATTGTCACTGGAGTATGTATTCTGATTGTTTCTGTAATAAAAGAACAATAGAAATAAACTAAATATTCCATACATCAGTTTAGTACAGGTAAAAAAATAAGTGGTTGCAATATTAGTTTGAGGAGGGAGCGAATGGGATTGGTCATTTACTTATGTCTACCATAATTTAATTATTCTTCATGTTGGCTTTACTTCTCCACCATGGGTTATTGGGTCCCATTTATCTGCATGCAGTTCTGCACCACCTTTAGTGATTAGATCCATCCATCTGGTTTTTGGTCTCCTATATGGTAGTAGCTCTTTCCAATTATTAAAGTATTCATTGTTGAGTAGGGGCTATCTGATGGCGTACTCCAAGTTACTTGTTTCAGCCAAGTTATTTTCCTCCTTGTAAAGGAAGATGATATGATGATATGTATATATAGATATTTATTCAACAGTTACTGTAGCAGTCACCATATCATTGTACAACCTTAATTTGAAATTTCTAAAAGAATTTCATGATTGCAGTACATTTGAAATAGAGAAGAAAGTTCTTATTGCACTTGTTATAGCCTGGTCTATTTCAGACCACTGGTCATTCATTGTGCAGCAGAGATATTTCAATCTGTCTACTCTAGGGAACGATTTCCATTCTATGCAGATCTGATTGTTGAAATAGAATTGAATAGTATATTGTTTTTTCTTCATTTAATTTTAGGCTGGTTTGCTCTACTTCTATTGTCTTATAGTAAATCTATACATGTTCTCTTGATTTCTTCCAAGGACAGGTATAAAAGTCATAAGGAAGTGGAATTACCTCGAATCACTCATTGTACAAGAATATAAGATTAGACAAGTTTTCGCTTCTTAATAACGTTTTATAATGATAAATATGTCATTTTTTTTAAAGATCTACATGGATACTGTCAGTCAATCATCAGTTGTTTGCAGAAGAAATTCTTAACATATTTATCTTTGGTTGAAGTAGAGTTCATTTGTCACAAAGAATAATCTTCTATCTTGTTCATTTCAAAACTTTTTTAGATTCAAAATACTTACAAAATACCTAATAAGTTTTACCCAATTCCAATGAGTAGATAAGAATTACGGTCATTTGAACATTTCAGATATTTGAAGTAAAGAAGACAATGCCATAAGGAGTCAGCATAATCTACATATCTTTGTTTATTTATCCGCTCACTTGGATGTCATCTATACTGTCTATCAATTTTATATTCAATCATAGATATTATATATAAGTAATGAATTTTGATTAATTATTTTATCTAAGAATGCTGGGACACGTTCCCAATATTGTTCGATGCAGTATCATCAAAAGTTCCAAATCAAAATACAAATGGAATCATGGAACAGACCACAGGATGTGAAAAGATATTTAATCTACGAACATTCAAATTCTACTTTTGTTGGCACTCTTTTTAAGAAGAGAGAAATAAAATATAATGGGAGTGGTGGGGAAGGTGTATGCGCTTCATCTGCCTAGGGAGGGATGGCTACTTCTGTTATCATCAAACAGTATTTGTAAATATGTGATAGAATATATTTTATCTAAGTAATCATTTTTGATTAATTATTATTAACTAATTATTTTATCTAAGAACACTGGGACACTTGCCTAATATTTTCCGATGTAGAATCTCCACAAATACATTGGTTGAAATTGGTGATCCACACACTATATCCTTGTTAGGAACTAACTATTTATATAATGTTTGGTAAATATTGTAGTAAATTTTATTATACTGTAAATATATTTAATTTGCAAGATATCAGATTTCTTACCATCAAACACCATTTGTAAATATGTGATGGAATTTATTTTATCTAAGTCAAAATCCTCTGGTTTATTTCCAACTGAGAATATTGCTCTTCTGAGTTTTTCTTGGACATCTTGGTTGTGCGCTAACTCCAAAAATAAAAATGTTAACACTATTGAAGATGTCACTGTAGCATCAAGATAAAATGTTGCACAATGAGCAGACATTTCTAAGTTTGAGTAAGCTAAAATAAAAATAAAAAATCATTTGAACCAAGTTATTTTAAAAATTAATTAACTAATAGAGATACAAAATCACACCTTTATCGCCTTGTTCCAATTTCTTTTTATTTAATTTCAATATTGTATCAAATAGATCCACTCTTGTGATCTCATTAGTCTCTCGATATTCAATATTTGTTTTAGTCATAGACATGAAAAAATCTTGTGCTCCCTTAGAAGTAATTCTGAAAAATGTGTAAGTTTATTACATATCATGAAATGTAAAGCCATAAATTTTGAGGAGAGTTAATTTTATATTTATTGCTCCATTACAATGGTTCATTTTCAAAATAATAAACCAAAATGAAACTGAAGAAGAGTGTCTTCAGTTTAAACCATTGTTGTGGCTGTTAAAAGAGTCCAATACATTGCAAGATTTTTTTTAATGTCATTCAAAATATAATGTCAAAATATAATGTCAAAGTAAATATATCATCAGTTTATTGTGAAGTCATTGAGTAACATTTTTGAAAATTAAATCACATGTTAATTTTACCTCAGTGACATTGAATCTTTGTGGTCTTATTGTAACAATTTTGGACATATAAGAGGGTTTTTGTTAATTTGATTCACTTAATGAGTATCTCTATTGATAAACATGATAAAAATCAGCAAATATGCACTTAGAAGTTTAGCCTTATCTAAACTGTACTTATTGACTATTTGCAATAAACTGATAGTATAATCTTTAAAACAAAGCTATCTAAAATACATTGACATGAAAAATAGTAAAAATACAATGACCAATAACATTAAGTTGTTTTCAAAACACCTTAAAGTTGTTTTTTTTTTCATATAAAGTAAGTATTTTAACACCCCAAAAAATAAATAGATTTTTAATTTAACATTTTGACCAAGTTTTTTTTTTTTTTTTTTTGGTATCTTGTAGTAACAACATTGTCCAATTTAAATGCCAAAAAGATTGTCCATTATGATTATTTATGGGTAATAGAGAACACAATATTGTTTCACATAATAAAAAATTAGATATGAAAATTTCGGATTCACCTGTAGTTCAATAATCTGCTTAAAGAAGGAAGAAAAAAGCTAGAAATCATTGTTACAAAATTTGAAGTAAAAAGTTTATCGCCAGTAGCATGTTTTATGAAACTGAATTCAGAATCCGTAAATGACTTTGGTTCGATTCCAAAACCAAAAAGAATAGCTGAGTCAACTGCTGCACGTGTTGTAATATCAAATACCTGAAATATTAAGCCATTGTCAATTATTGAAATGTAATAATAAAAGATTTTAGTTTTATTGGTATTAATTTTAAATTAATTTTTTTGTATAAAATGTTTGTAATCTTTAATCTTGCTCATAGGTATTGTATCTATTTATTCAGATGCATGTATTTATGAAAAGATATACTAACTATCTATTATAATAGTACTATATAACATTATATTATGCTTTATTCAACGATTTAGAGTTTTTTGTAATACAATTACAGCTTCTGCTTAATTGTAAGTTGTTATTTATTTGTTTGTTTTTTTGTAATTTATAGATTCAATAGTTATTGTAATAAAAGTTTATAGTTTTATTGGGCTATTGTTAGAAAAATTGGAAATTCAATAGCTATCAAAGTAAAAATCTATCTTAATCATTTTGGAAATATATTAAATAAGATACTTATTAGTTTTTTAGTTTTTTATTGGCTTGATTAGGGTATACTGTAAAATAGCAATATTTCTACAAATATATGTATTTGAAAACAAATATATATATAGACATTACTAGACACAAAATTAGTATATCTTAAGTTAGCTTTTATGATGAATTCATACTTTTATGCAATTGTTATGGACCCATCATGTCTATTTGTTTTATAATGTTAATCTAAACTGCAGCTTCTTATCCTTCAAGTGTTTGTAATAAGAAGGTGGAACTGTAATGTCAATAGTTTTTCACCATATTATTCTTAAAAATGTTTATTATAAGTAAATAAAATAATTTTTATTATAGGTTTAAGTATAGTTCTTTAAATAATATAGAAAGTATTACAGAAACAGGTTGGCTTTTCTTATTTTTAATGTAGTCTTTCATGAATTCTCCTATTTTGACCATACCAGGAACCACTTCCTTTAATTTTAAGGCAGTGAGGTTTGAAGCTTGAATGCTTCTCAGTTCTTTCCACCTGTTGAAATTTAATAAGTTATTAAATTTGTTATAAGTTTAAAAATTAATTAAAGTTTATAAGTAATTAAAAATTAATTTACATATTTGTTATCAATAAAAAGTTATTTTGCTGAGTTGAGTACAAGACATGGTTTATTTAGACATTTTCATCATTATAAATGTAGCCAGCCTTAATAGAATCTTTGATGGATCATGAGATCTGATTGCATATTATAACTAAATTTATAAAAATATATATGATATTCTATTATACATATATAAAATAACAGGGCTTCCTAAAGTTAGACACAATAAAACAAAATATCTCATAGACGTAAGAGAAGAAATTCTAAATTATATTTATATGAAAAAATTTTCAGAACAGAACATTTTTAAACTTAATCACTATCTGCAGGACGATCACCAGAAATATACTGATTGCAAAGGGAACATATTTAATTTGGACCTAAGTAATCTTAATATAGTTTATACAATGAGATCGAACTAAACAAACAGTATTCGAAACTATACAACTCTAACGGTACTACATATGTATTGAGAGGACGACAAAAAATTGTGAAAATGGTGGCAGCCAATCCCTATGGCCTTGTATTGAAGATCAAGAAGTATTTAATATTAAATAAAATTTACAATTGTAATAATTAGATATTATTATTATTTATAATTATTAACTTACAATGGTACAGTTTTTGCTGTAAATGGGTTAAACCCCATAATTGGGTCAATATCCTTGTCCATTGTAAAACCATTACTGCTAAAGCTGTTAAAATCAGTTGCTAAAACTCTTTTTATAATTTCTGGATCGCTCACAAACAGCATTGGCTTATAAAAACTGTAGAAACCAACCATTCTATGTTGTTTGTACTGTCTAGAACATTGAAATAGAAACAATAATGATAACTATTACTTCCTTTTAACAATATTGATCAATTGATATTAATCATATAATAGTTATTTATTTATTTAAATAAAATAATATTGTTTATTACTCACTCATAAATATCACGAAATTTGAGGCACATGACTTTTTGATTCATTATTATTTCCTTAATATTCCCGAATAGGAATTCTGTTGGGAGAGAATATACATTCCTTCTTCTCCAGTAGCCATAAGCCCACCAGTTAAATATAAATAGGACACTTGACAATACTATAATTGTTTCCAATAGCATATTGTTATAAAAGTTGAACCTGTGATACAAGTAAATAATAAACTGAAGTTATAATTTATATTGATGAAAATTGGAATTTTATTTCAATTTATAGTTGATTTAATATATATATATATATATATATATATATATATATATATATATATATATATATATATATATATATATATATTTATTTATTATATTATTGCATTTATAATATTTTTTCATATTAGTATTTCTAAATTCGGATATTATTTATATATATATAATATAATATAATATATATATATATATATATATATATATATATATATATATATATTTATTTATTTATTTATTTATTGCATTTATAATATTTTTTCATATTAGTATTTCTAAATTCGGATATTTATTTAATCTAATTCCTTCAAAATTTTATTCAAAGATACTACATATTTACATGATGATTTACAATAAAATTATATAAATATTACTTATTGGTCAAACAAATATTCAGACCAGTACTTTCATACAGCTCTGAAATTTCCATTCTGGACTGTGAACACACAAAATAAGAGAAACTTGAAATTGAATTATTAATTTTTTTATCTTCAGGAATTATATAATATTAGAGCGATCAGGAATCAGAGTACAAACACATGTATTGGACCAATAGAACATGTATTTTATTATGTATGAGTGGTACAATAGAAGGATTAATAAAAAACCGTTTACAGAAAATATGGTTGCCACCTACTTAAACATGACAATGTGAAGGCATGGTTGAGGAGAACAATTAAACCAAATAATTTTCTATATTTAAAAATAATATCGAATCAAATTTTAATTTCTTACACAATCTTGTGAAAGTTTATATATTAAACAAACCATCTAAATATTAAGAAACGAAAAGTTATTGGTACTTTAATCTGCTAAAATTAAATAAAAAAATAAATGAGTAAATAAAATATTAAAAACACCCTAATTACTTAGGAAACAGATTTTCTCTTTGTTTAGATATAATTTTGATTAGAAATCGACAAGAAATAAAAACAATTAACATAATATCAAGTCTGAACCAATTTCAATCTGTATCCAATCGAATTTAGAATTATTTCCCAAAGAAACATTTGGTAACAGAGCAGGGGTGCCTATTCCCCTGCCCCAAGATGGATGGTGTAAGAACCTAACCCCCTCCTCCCAAGATATTTTTTACTCAACTTTTCTTAGGTAGAATTAGAAAAATCATAGGTCATATACAATAACACTTCTTTAATGTGTTCCATGTTTTCCCCCTTAGTCCAAAAATTCATAACAAAAATTCAAAAACTCATCAAAATATGCCCACTCAAAAATGTTTATGGCGCAACTTGCGCCATTAAATCCCTTTCTGGGCACCCCTGTAACAGAGGAAAACCATGTTGAGGTTACTTACTCAGTATTGTAAAAAAATCATACTAAAACAATTTTCGAAGTCTGGGACCAACTGTTCCTCATAATGGGTGTATGCAGGCTTCCCCTTCCCCCTCAGAAGAAAACTTGTTAGTCAGCAACCCTGACAGAAACAGGAATATGTAGCTTGGAGAAATTAATCAGAATGATGATAGGCAAGAGACTACCTGGAAGGATCAAAAACTAAATGGATAGATCCAATCAAAACCACTAGCGGATCTAGGATTTAATTTGGGGGAGGGGCTTCAGCCCGAAAGATTTTTTTTTCATAAATATTCATAAAAATAATTTGAAAAAAAAAGAAAGAAATTAACTTTTTTTTTTTTTTTTTTTTTTTTTTTTTTTTTTTTTTTTTTTTTTTTGTTAACATTCCCTCAAAAATCGTTTAACATCTTTTATAAAGTTTTTCCTTTCCTTTCATAGAAATCCCCGTTATAAAAAAAAAAAAGAATAGTGATTTATCTTGTTTTTTAATAACAATGACTTTTTTTTTATTTATTTATTTAGAAATATTATAATCCGTCACGTGGACAATAATCACAGTGATATATGAACACATTCAGACCATATATACCGAAAATATAAAATTAACAAAAGTAATTTAATAACTGAATAATAATTAAAAACCATGTACAACAAAAAAAAAATAACCTAAAGATAAAGATAAAAACACAGCCATACCTATATACAATATATACAATCAGGCAGAGAACCCCAGATCAGGCTTCTCCCTCAAAGTATAGAAGGAAAAGCGGAAACAAGATCGACCACTCGGAGTCCTTGATTTACAATGATTTTAATAGAATGTTTATGTGGAATAATTTAACTTAATTAGTTCTGTAAATTGAAGCTGGTAGAACGCATTACGAAGTTGTTTGTGATAATTATCTTCGTTGGAATAGTTGTTTCCTCGATATTTTCAAAAATTAAACTTTGTCTGTTGGGGTGATGATATTCCCATCAGAAAATAGGATGTTAAGAATGGGCATTATAACGGTGTTCGATTAAATGTTTTCTTCTAGTAAGTCACAAAATTTTTACTCCGCTTTAGCCCTTTAGCTGTCCCTACCTTAATAACATATCGAACTACACAGTATGTTTTTTAAAGACACAATCTGTTAGTACTTTTCTCATTTAATAAATCGATGGCGAAGAAGTCTTCGAAGCCATCGCAATGATCGGTTATAGCGGTTAGATATGTATTATGCTTGACACGACTGTTGGAGCTATCGTTAATAAAACATGAGCTATAAATATACTGTAGTTTAATAAACGAGTTTTAAATATATTTTCTTAGTATTTGGTTTTGGATTTAATATTGTAATCCAATATTTCCCTTCGAATCCGTCTACGCAAAGACCAATCTGTTAGTAATGAGGCTCAGTCTGTGGTATACTGTTTTTTTGTAAGAAATCATTTTGAGATATGGTTACCAGGATGTTGTTGAAGTCTTCTTTAGCCAGGAGCTCAGCACCAACTGTGCTCGAAGGATGAGGCTAATAAAAAAGTTGCGCAATCCATTCACGGATTATTTTATCTACTCCTCCTTTGGTCAAGAAGGAGACTACGTATCTGTGATGACATAGCTATTATTTAGAGAAGTGTTGCAAAAATAAACACATTGTATTTAATTTAGATCAAATGAAAACTTAAATGTGATTTTTGAACATTAAATATTTTTTAAAACCTGGAAAGAATTTACTGAGAAAACTGGGTTGTAAAAATTCATTGAAGTGCTTTTTCAATGGCGCTAAATATTATGGTATACATTTGTTTATTTCGACCATATTTATCAAAGTATAAAACTCACTAAGATCGTAAAATAACACAAATTCTATTATATCGAAGATATGCAGTGCAAATCTCGTAACTCCATCAGTTAATTTAAATCATATAATTCCACTATCGCAGCTCTCTATAAAACTCTCTGTATATTCAAAGCCTTTCTGAATATCCCTAATCTATAACTGATATATTATTTTATATATGTTATTAAAATTATTTTTTCGATTTTAAAATTGATCAAAATTCAGTTACACGGTTTTCATTGCTTACCGTCGTACTGTGAGCTGAAACTCTTTAATGATGTAGAGATGGTTGACTGTTGATATAATATGAGAAGGAGTTGATCGGGGAGAGCAGTCAAATTAATACTAAATTAAATAAGTAGAATTATTTAATTTTTGCCGACGTTTCGACCCACTTTGTAGGTCTTCATCACTGCGTAGGATGTAGCACTGCGGGAGGCAGTGAAACACTGAGTGTTTAAAAAAAAAACTGAAAAATATAGATGTTTCAATATATAATTAAATGGACTTCAATATCAGGTAAGTCTTATTTCCATTTTACTGCTTATTTGCTGGTTTGTATTTAGTGTTGCCATAAATCGGTCTTGGTCTTGCACTTTGCAAGACCAAGACCAAGGCCGCCTAACTGTTACAAGACCGAAACCAGGACTGGTAAAAAAAATCAATTTTTTAAATAATAATTAAGGCAAAATAATTACTAATACTTGACAATCTTAGTTACTATATGTTAATAATTGGTATAACCAATATACTTTCGCATTTAACTCCTCTAATTTTTCATTCGGGCTTACTTAGGTTTCTCCTATCTAAAAAATTACATTAATATCTCTATAGTAAGAAGCTAATAAGTAACTGCAAGACTTTTGCGAGACTCTCTCGCAAGACAAAGACCATGACCAAGACTGAGTTTGTAAGACCAAGACTCGTCTCGGTATCGCATTTGGGCAACAGTATTTCTATTGTATATTATATGACATATTTTGTCAGTTTTATGAGATAATTGTGGACATATGTGAGTATTTCAAAATATCGGAATCACGAGAAATGTATAAAATCAATATTAACTAACGAATAGATCCTAAACAACAATTATATGATGGTTGTAGCTGTCAACATCCACCTGAGGTTTGTATCAGAATAAGTAAGGACCTCTAGTTTATTAAAAAGTTTATGTGATTTGGTATTCAGTCACCCTTAGGTACATGTTCTTAGCAAAAATAACTTCGATAAATTATTACAAAGCTTTAATTTCATTTCTTTTTTGTGGGAATTATCTGGAATTTATTGTAATAAATTAATTATGAAAATGCACTTTTTAAGAATAAAAAACTCTTTCTCATAACAGATCTCTCTTGTGTAGTGTTGCCCAAAATCAGTCCTGGTCTTACACTTCGCAAGACCAAGACCAAAGCCGCCTAAATATTGCAAGACCAAAACCAGGGACAGGTAAAAAAAATCCATTTTTTCAATAAAAATTAAGGCACAATAGTTACTAATACTTGACAATCTTAGTTACTATTTGTAAATAATTGGTATAACCAATATAGTTTTGCATTTAACTCCTTTAATTTTTCATTTAGGCTTAGTTAAGTTTCGCCTATCTAAAAATTTACAGTAATATCTCTATAATAATAAGGTAGTAAGTAGCTTGAGCAAGACCAAGACCATGACCGAGACTAAGTTTGCAAGACCAATACTCGTCTCGGTCTCGCATTTGGGCAACACTACTCTTGTGGGAATCATTGGCCTAGATTTTCTATTTTGATTGGAAGGAGGCGATAGATAAAATAACAAAAAATTGGCGGGGGTTTCTATCATGCCTAAATATAATGTAAAATGATTAATATATAAAATAAAGTTAATAAGTTTATTTACTAACTGCTTTGATAATAGGTAAAAGGTAGCATGATAATGGAGAAGGTTATGCGAGGTCTATAGTGTAATTGCCTAAAGCTTTTGATTACGTATTTTCTAGTTATTTATAGTGTTTTTTGTGTTAATTGTTCTGTTTCATAATAAGTTTCTGTTAGTTTGTTCATTAATTATGTTATTTTGTCGTTACTGTTCCTGTTAATTTCGTTTTGTTGGTGTATATAGTTTTGGACTGTTAGGTTAAGTGTTTCTTTTAAGTGTTATTTCTGTAGTGCGTTTTGTTAAGTTCTTCAGTAGTGAAATATTGGGTTAAACATTGTCGTACCTTAAGGTAAGTGTCAGTGTAAGATTCATCAAGTTTATTTCACTATAACCTTTTGTATCTACTACTTAACATTTTTCCAAAAAATAGTTTTAAAGTGTGTTAAGGAAAAATATTCGACCCCTTGGTAGCTAAAACTACCATAAGCTTCCCTAGGAAGCCCAAAGACTTTAGGAAAGATAAGTAAGTTTTCTTTTATTTAAAGGTTAAATCACTTACTTACTATGTTGAATGATAATATAGTTGAAAGAGTAGAACCTCGTAAAGAACGAAACGTACGATAAAGAGGGCCAGGAAGGGTTCTCCTGTTGCTAAAAAGAAATTGGAAAAGGGCTGTACTCTACTTCTAGAAGCCAAGCGAATACAGGAGAATCTCCGTTTATACATGAAAACAAGCCCGTAAGCAGTGTTAGGGACCATATTAGCACCAAGATTCAATGTCTTGTTAAGATGATTGAGACCTTAGAAGGCGAAGATAGTCAAGATAGCTATAACAGTGTACTTACCCTTGTCCAAAGAGCAATAAATGAAACATTGTCATCGGAGAAGGTGCATGACATGTTAACCACAGTTATCGTTGAGACGTCTATGCCAAAGGTTTTGGAGGCTCTTTCAAGTTCAGCACCTCAACTACAGCCTAAGGCAGGACCCCCTGGAGAGCAGCACCAACTTTCTAGTCAAGATATGGATCATTCTCCGGAGGTAACAGAGAGATTTGAAACCGTCAAGAGTAAGAGAAGGAGGAAAACAACTAAAGCTACTAATAAAGCAATTACTTCGTCAAACGGAGTGATCTCAATGGAACCGAAAGCTCTAAAACAACGGCAAGAGAAACCAATAACCATTGCGGATATTGTGAAATTTTTGCCTACAAAGCCAACTCAAACTGAGAGATCGACTTATATCACTATAAGCGGAACGGGCAAGTGACCAGCAAATATTATCAATGGGTTGCCTTCACCAAGCGAAATCGGAGTAAAGGCCTCCATTGTCCGTACGACCAAGACTGGCTCCGCGTTGGTCCGCATGGATAATAGTAGTGATGCCACGAAGGTGATTGTATGGCAAGGGCTAAGAGACAGTGGCCTTCAAGACAAACTTGCTTTGAGGAAGAAACCTAGATTGGAGGTGCAGGGTGTCCCCCTCTCATGGGATTCAGCGGATTTGGTGAGATTTTTATGGGAAAGAATGCCCGAGAGGTTGGTCCCCACTCCGCTGGTCGTTGATGATATCCGCCATTTTTTTCCTCAATGGCAAGAAATGGCTTTACAAAGAATTGGGTGATAGAAATGCACCCTACAGTTCGGTTCCTGCTGTTGGAAATAGGAAGCTTAGATGGAGGATGGTGGAGTATTACAATCAAAGACTACCTCGACGCTCCTCGATGCAGTAAATGCCAGGGATATGGGTACACTAAGGCCACTTGCATATCAAATGCCGTAGTCTGCATTTGGTGCGCTTCCACTGGCCATGTTATTAAAGATTGCCCTAAGAAAAAAGAACTGACTAGCCCATCATGCATCAACTGCGAGCAGGTGAATGCGCCTGCTAGTAAAGGAAGGACAAGGCGAGAAGTCGGGAGTGCCCTGTGCACTTGAATTGGGCTAAACAGGTAGCGAAGAGGACCTTTTATGAGTGAGCTTATCATCCTCCAGCTCAACATGGGCCGCCGGCATATAGTGGCAGACGAACTCCGAGCTCTTTCTCCGCGCTACGATGTTATGGCGATTCAGGAACCGACCTGCCGTGGGAACGTAGTAACGGGGTTTGGCCTCACATCGAGAGTCATAGCTTTGAGCAGTAGAGAGAGGAGGCCCAGGGCTGCTATTGTGATTAATAATCCTAACCTCGATGTGATGGATCTGAGGCAGTATACCACGGCGGATTGTGTCGCATGTCATATCAAGTGGCGTAATATTTCCTTTACGCTAGTTTCATCATACATGCCTGATGGAAATGACATAGAAAGGGACATAACCGCCGTGGAGATGATCACGGCTTGCACTCAGAACGTGATCATCTGCTCAGATACCAACTCTTGGAACACGGTCTGGGGGTCCAATGGAACCAATAGAAGAGGCGTCCAGCTCGGTGAATTTATAGCAAGGAGCCAGCTACTAGCCATATAACGATTCCTCCGCTATCCCAACGTTCTCCAGTGCAAGAGGCCACAGCTGGATCGATGTGACTTTGGCATCACCGGTGCTGGCAAACCGCATCATCGATTGGACCCCTCGATCTGAGACGAGTTCCGACCATCAGGCGATATCTTTTAGGCTGGTGGAAAGTTCATTTAGTTCCCATGGCACGAACAAGGGTTACATAACCCGAAGAAAAGATTGGAGCGCCTTCCGGTCGACTCTGGAGGGAAAATTGGTTGATGAGGAATGGGATGAGGCTGACATGGATCAGACTCATGATCTGGATTACAGGGTATCCATGATCACAACTGTCATCCGTGATGCTGCTGAAGA